AAATCGGCTTTATGTAAATTGGACTGACAGTAGCTCCCAGTGATTATGGATATCAGGTCTGCTAGTCTAGGGAGGGAATTTGCTTTACTTTGGGAAGCAGTGCTACTAATAGCATGTACATAAAACATGGTAACCGGCTGTGGGTAGCCTTTGAGCTCACATACACACCGTCTGGCTGCATTCCAGTTTTCTTGCACAAAGCAACCGGAAAACCAGAGCAACATCTGCATTGTGTGTTTAACACTGAGCAGAGCAACATGGAACTAGTGAACCCTTCGGTTTGTGGTCACGTAGGTTGGATCAGAAGCGTGGCTTGAGCAGGTCACGGCAGCCGAACCCCAGCTAGGGGCGATGAGAACAGTCAGCTGCCAGCAGCCAGGTCTGGAGGAGGAGGAAGAGTGGTGACAGGGCAGTCTGAAGTCAGCATAAACCTGAATCTGGGGCCTTTCATCTCTGTGGAACCACATATTGGGGATTCTTCTGTAAAGACCCCCAGGCAGAAACTTGGCTTCTAAAACAGAGAAGAGGATTGTTGCTCCATTTCCTTGGGAAGCTCCGGCCTCGTGCATTCTTGCTGAGGCGAATTTGTAGCAGAGTGAGTCAGTTATAGGGTGGGGAGGAGAGGAAGATTAGCCAAAGCGCAGCAGCAGGAGCATATGAATTAATTATGTGTGCATTCAAATGATGGATGAATATATTTCTTTTAAATATAATCAGCAGTTGCATGCCACCAACTCCTCTGCCTGGTAGCTGGGGCCTGAGGAGAGACGTGGCTGATCTCCATGTTCAGAGGAAGAGTCCAAGGGCTGCTGCCTTTGAACGAGCGTGGGAATATCTGAGAGCAGTCAGGAAACTCTGCTCTGCGGCATCCCACAGGGAGGGAATGGGTCGCGTTTCCACTAATCTGGATGAGATGGAAATAAAGACAAGTCAGAACTGATGAGTGAAGTAGTGTAATTTGATCCATTTCTTAAAATAATTTTCTATCATATCTTTACCTCTTTTTTTTTTTTTTTTCTGTTTCTCATGCTGCTTGGGTTTGTGGCTGTAACGGTGAATGCTGTGCACTCACTTTTTCTTGAACTTTAAACTTGCTAGGAAAACGGGCACTCAAATGAGTTAAGCTGCTGCAAGTGGAGCAGTTTGCTCCAGTGGTAACATAGTTCGGGGTCACCCAGGTTTTCATGCCATCCTTCATAAGGCACCTGTTTATATTGGGATTTTTGTGCTGTTGCTGATCACTCTTGTAATACTCGTTTTCCCAGAGGAGGTTCACTGTAAGCTGCTACCCCTTCTGCTGGCATAGCCAAACTTTGAATTTACCAGGGAGGGCAAGAGAGAGCGGGAATGTTCTACGGGCCCAGCAGCCATCCTCACTGGTCTGTGCCAAAGCATCTCTGACACAAATGTGCACAACAGTTAGGAGCAAAAAGCCGGTGAGAATAGCCTGATACTGAAGTTGCAGAAAGATGGAGAATGAGAACATGAAACTACAAAAATAAGATTCTCCCTCGAGCTTATGTAATGGGTTTCTTACATGCCACATATCTCTCTACTGCATAAAGGGTACTGTGTGTGAAGTCATTAACCCTCCGGAGGCTACGCTTTTCTGTATTTGCTGTTACACCATGACATATATTGGGCAGAAAACTTTTGAGGGTACATGAAAATCAGGTTCATAGGATCATTCAGGTTGGAAGGGTGCTCAGGAGTTGGTCTTGGCTGACTTTGTATTCAAATAGGGATCAAATCATAGAATCATAGAATCGTTTGGGTTAGAAGGGACCTTGAAGATCATCTGGTTCCAACCCAGAGCAGGTTACTCATGGCTTTATCCAGCTGGGTCTTGAAAACCTCCAAGGAGGGAGTCTGCACAACCTCTTTGGGCAGCTTATTCCACTGCGTGTCTGTCCTCATGGAGAAAAAGCTGTTCTGACTTTGAGGCCAGCACAGTTCACTTTAGTTCACATGTGTAAGTTCTGTAGCTGCTAACTTCCTACATAGAAGTATTTGCTCAAAGGTTTAATGGTTTTCCCTGTGCTTTTTGTCATTTTGTTCAGGAAACTACTCCAGGCCACCGACGTACAGCGGCGTGCCCAACACAAGCTACAGTGGCCCAGGACCCGGCATGGGCATAAATGCCAACAGTCAGATGCATGGCCAGGGGCCAAGCCAGCCTTGCGGTACCATGCCCCTGGGACGGATGCCATCAGCTGGGATGCAGAGCAGACCGTTTCCTGGAAACATGAGCAGTATGACCCCCAATTCTCCTGGCATGTCTCAGCAGGGAGGCCCTGGGATGGGCCCACCCATGCCAACTGTGAACCGTAAGGCACAGGAGGCGGCTGCTGCAGTGATGCAGGCTGCTGCAAACTCCGCTCAGAGCAGGTATGCGTCCAGCTGTAAAGATTTCAAACAAGTGGGAATGTTTTTCTTGTCATTTCTGAAGTAACAGCACTGTATAGGTGTATGCACATGCATTTATACATGTTCTATCTGTGCCCTTATCTTTGGGAGGAGATGGTATGTGGGAAGAATACTTCTCCTTAAACATAAGGGAAAGCCTACTATCGTGTTTTTGAATGTCCTCTCGAAAAACAGCTGTGACAACGGAGATGACGGCTACTTCCAGTTTGGTTCTTGGCAGTGTAGGATTTAGGGAAATCCACAGGGTTGCAGTGACATTAGGAGTCAAAAACAAGCCCTCTGCAACTTAAAATTTATTAGCTGGATATGTATTTTTTTATCTCCTATAGAGGGTGGGCCAGCGTGTGCTTGGCAGCTTGCCCCTGCCAGGGAGTAAGAAAGCTTATGAAGCTGCCCATCAATTCTTGTGCTTACTGCCTGTGTTGTGCGCAGCAGCACTGATGGCAGTTCTCTTCTACAGGATGTTCTTGTTCCTAGGCAGAGAGGGAGAGAGGAGGGCAGGCTAAGGGGAGCAGGCAAGGAAAGGGAAGGGAAGGGCAGAAGGAGCCGTAAACACAATCTGTAGTTATCTGGAGTTGATAAGTGCTACCTATACATCTGTGAGAGAGAACTTGCAAACAGGACTGCAGAGGTTGGAGCCATCATCTGTCGTCTTGTCTTCCCTTCAGGCAGCATAACTGCATGCTGCCGTTTCTGCATGGATTTTGGCAAAGGCACTTTTCTTTCTGTGGTTATTCTTGAGATGCCTGAATACTTGCAGTGAAGTCATATTTTCTAGGAAATTTTTCAGATTAAGTAATTTCCACATTTCCCTGGACTCAAGTAACCCCTGGTGCATCTATTATCTTTTTTCCTGTTACAAGAAGTTCCGTTATGTGGAGAATTACACAAAGCTGTTGCGCTGTTCTGGCAAGCATGTCTATGTGTGTATGTGTGTATCAAGCACCTAGCCTTTATTTGTGTGTATGCACACACAGATGCACACGAACGCATACAGGTATTTATCATTCAAGACCAGTGTTTCTGAGCACTAGAGTTGCTCTAATTCCAAGACACAATGTAAAACTAGAAATAGGAAGCTAATGTGTCTCTCTATCTTTTGCTTTCTTTCTTGTTTTGCGAGTTTGTAAGGCAGGTGGCTTTTAGTGATAAACAACAACAAACTTCTAAACCACTAATAGTAAATTTAGTCTACTTCGTGTTCTTGTTCAGTAAAACAGAACCACACACCCTTAAAATAGACTGTACTCCCGCAGATATCTGTGAACCATCAGTCTCTTGCTTGTGTTGGGTTTTTTAACAGTCTAGTAGGATTTACAAAAGTCTGCTTCTGTGTGTCTGGTTTAGGCTATAAGCTGGTAGGTCAGGCACGAAGGAATAAATGGGCCATCACTGCAGCTGCAGGAACTCTTTCCATATAATCATGTAATGAAAGGAAAAGCTCGCGTTTGTCGGTCTTTACAGCAAGAAAAGACTTTGTGTTAAGTGGAAAGTATTTGATTGTGATTCAGCTTACACTTTGGGCATAGTGTGTGGTGTTTGATGAAAAACTAGGTTAAATGATTGCCACTCCTATCTCACACCTTCCTTTTGTAAAACTGCTTTTGGTTTCTAGCTCTGCCTGGGCAAAACTGCACCATTTCAGAGCCTTTTCATCACATGCTGCCTGTTCCAGTGATCCAGCACCTATGGAAGGGCCATTGCAGTCATCAAATACCTGTTGCATATGCTAGCCAAAGGGCTGTTTATAAACTGGAAATTGTGTGAAACCTGTCACACCCTCTGATGCCAGGGGCTTGCAAGCACACTGTTTTCCTCTTTAATCTGAAGTCAGAAAGCCTAATGGCTTTTGGCTGTTCTTGCAAGTCCTCCATACTTGCATACAGGAGGAATTGTACTTGACAGCGTTTCGTATTCATGATACAGAGCGAATCCAAAGAGGCTGTTCTTTCGCCTGCTTATCCCAGTCGGTCTGGGGCTGGCGGATGCCCTGTGTTTTCTTCACAGCACCCCAACTATGGCAGCGCTCAGGCTCCCTTGATGCACCGGTCTGACCAGTGCGGGTAGGTAGCAGTGTAAACTGGACTTGCTGTGGGACCTTGGCAATCTTTTAATGTTTATGGACATGCTGTCTGGCTACTGAAGACATACAAAAATCATGTGAAAGATATACAAATACTTGCATCATGGAGAGGATTTTAGTTTTTTGTTTTCGTTTTACTAACGCCACTGTCACTCGCTCACACACCGGCATGGCTTTTGGCATGGCTCTGTTTCCTTGTGCCTGAGAGGGAAATGAAGAACCTCATCACTGAAAGGAATGAGATCCCTCCTCCCCCTGACCCCCAGGCATCGTCTTTCTCCCCTCATTGTTGGTGTTACTGTCTCGCAGCGGTGCTGGCCAACCCCATTTTCTTGACTTGGTGGTGGTGTTGTCATTGCTACCTGAGCAGTGAGCTGCAACACCCGAAGTATGATCTCTTCCTGAGAGGTGGTGTACTGCAGGAGCGACAACAGGGTTCCTTACTGGGATTTTCAAGAAAGGTGTATTACACTGTAATTGAGCGCGCATGTGTTGGAAAAATTTCAGTTAGTCACAGGAACAATTTTTAGGAGCACTGAATATCCGGGGCAAAGCATTTGTCTGAAATGCAGCTACTGTTTTCTGACCAGAATCCTTCACACTGGGATTTCTGTAACCTTACCACAAATTGCAAGACTGGCAGAAAGTGTCTACACTGGCTCCCAGCCTTCTGTTCCCTCACAGCCAAGTCCAGCTTCACCCAAGACTCAAGTTTCATGGACTTCCCCACCATCATGTTGTATCAGTTGTTACCTCACTACAAAATCTGTAGTACCCAAATTACTGTTGCCTTCATGGCTGTTAACAAGTTTTAATTACCAGTTTTCTGTAGCTGCTTCTAGGTTTTTGTTTTGTTTTTTGTTTGGTTGGTTGGTTGGTTGGATTTACCCCTAATAACATCATTTAAGTATGTGCATGTGAAAAAATAAAAAGCAAAACAAAAAATTAGAACACAAGCCTACTGGTTCTCCTGTTCAAAAAGCAAAACAAAGTGAAACAGGAGAGCACTCGCACCATACTGTTTTCGTCTACCTGGATGGGTATCCACTGTTACATGCCAAAGTGCATGAATAGTTCCAGCCTTTTGCTTCCAGTGTCTTGAGTTTATAAGGCTCAGCTGTGAGGTTCCAGAACTGTTGGACTTCTGTTGCTATAAAACACGCCCTTCTATGTAGAATTAAGAAGAAAATGAAATGGCTGTGTCAGAGTCATGGTTACACAGCAGTATTTCTGCACAAGTTGGTTGTGATCCCCTTCAAGGTCAACTTGTTGAATCAGTTGCAATGTATCAATAAGGGAGAGAAATTTATCTTCAGCTGTTAATCCACAGGATCTATCCTTTGCCGGCTCAGGAGTCTCATTTAGACACAGAAAGCTGGTTTTCCTCTGCTTTGCCAAGCCACACTAAGCACCTGTGTAAAATGAATTTAAATGGTATGCATGAGAATAAAACCACTTCCACTGGGGCAGAAAATCAATGTTCGTTAACCAGGGCTGCATGATTGAGATCTGAGTGTCAGCCAGTTATACCTAGGTATCATCCTCACTGCAGACCACCACCCTTTTAATTAGAGAAGATAAAATCATATAAATAAAAGTGGTGGCTGTGGAAGATACTAGGTTTACACCATTTGAATTAGCCTTTGACCTCACCTTGAGGCCTGCTCTGTGTTAAGCTTAGATTAATTTCTACAGCTGCATAATACCTTTGTGCACACAGGCCAGTGTTTCCCAAATGATATCTCGCATGTCGGGCCAGAGGAAACAAAGGTGTTTTTAAGACCTCTTCAATGAACCGTCAGTATCTGTGGTTTCATGGTATCCAGGATGTTTAAGCTTGGTCTGGGTAACAATTTACGGCAGGCAATGCTAAATAACTCTCTAATACCCTGTATAGTAATTCCCCTTATTTTCAGGAAGACATTGGGAAGGAACTGCATAACAGTGTTTTTCTTTTGATATCTGCCTTGGTATCAGCACACCCATTGGCCGGTAAGGACTGTACGTTGAAGACGTAATACATCCAGTGAACTTCAGAGGAAAACTTTTCATAACGTAGGTTGGCACTGGCCAAGCCCCTAAGGGCCAGTTCTGCTGCTGGAGGCTAGAACCCAGCAGAGGCCTCTGAGGACCAGGTGGCTCCAAAAAATAGTCTTTTATCACACTGTAGTTTTTACAACAATACATGTGTTCATAGGGATAAGTATTTATGTGTGTACAGACCTGCAACATGGTAAACCTTCAGTAAAAGCAAACAAAGCAAATGAGGTGGCACTTCCCCTGTCGATGTGAAAGGCAGCAAATCCAGTCAGTGTCTTCTAGTGCCAGCCAGTTCTGTGTTCCTCACTTGGCAGATGCACAACTTGAAACTTTTCAGGACTATGTATTCACTGTCTGTGAGCTTTTGTTTCCTACAGTAAGTGCCCAGCATACGCTTTTGAAAATCGATTATCAGGTTGATACCTGCGGTCAACAGACGTTTTTGGAGCTCGGTGCTTGTCATCATCATTTTCAGCATCTCTTGTGCTAGCAGTGAGTGTCATTCTGAGCATGTCTTAGCAGTTAAAGGTGTGACTGTAGTATATGGAAGGGTAAAAGCGTAGCTGAGAAATAGCTGGCTTACATGCTGTTAGCAGTGCAGCCTTAGGAAGACATAATTCAGTACTTGCTGGCTGTCAAACACACCTCTAGCTGGATGCTGAAATGAGCCTTGCCTCTTGCTGGTTATCGATACCTGAACTAATTACTGTAAAATGAGTTTTGATGTGCTTACATGAGGAGCAATCTTATCTTTGAAGGCAGCATCTTTGACCTCAGTGTATGGTACCTTAATATGATTCTTGGGATGGCATGTTGCAATTCTGTAAATTAAAGCAAT